CGCATTAAGAAACTAGCAAACGGCTACCCAGTTATTTATCTAACGATGACTTTCAGTTTATAGAAACGGGTGATCCAAACCATAACAACTACTGGACGAAAGATTAGGACATTTTATAACTTTTCCTTTTTTACATCACAAAAAAAAGTACATGGACACCCAAACCTTGACAGGAGTGTTTCAATCCTCCTTATGCCAACTGATTCGGAGGCTATTCACGGCTTTGCAAAAGTTGCGGCCAAAATTACGAGGCCGAGGAGAAGGGATCGGGGCGAGCCTACAGGCATTTTTATTCAGGGACTCGGACTGCCCTTTTTAATGGATCGGTAAGTCGCGTTTACCAGACAAGCCTCGACGTTACATTTATGGTCAACTGGCTTGACGAGCCTATGCACATCCTAGTGCTGCATTTCTCAAAAAAAAATGTATGCTCCTCAGAAAATAACATGTGTTACATTTAGAGAAGCCACTGGTTGTGCCTTGGAGGGTAAATTACGCAGTTCGTGTCAGTAATGATTAATTGCCACCGAAGGGTCTAAAATCGGTGTCCAAGTACCGCAGTCTTAGGCAAACACCACCAGTGCAGTAAAGGTGGGCAAGTAATTACGGATTTCGGTTGCTCTTGCAAACTTCCTTTCGGCTGTGGATGTAACATCGAATTCTGTTGGCTAATTTTAGGTAGATCAACACTTACAACTTGCGCTGTTCGACTCCTTACACCGGCATACTGTTTGGGTGTCGGAGTTTGCTCAAAAGGCATCTCTAGCGAATTGACCAACACATTAGCATTTTTAATAAACCAAATCTTGTACATTTTTTTTTCAAAACGAAGTAATTTACGAAAACAATACAGTGAGGTAAACATGATCTGGCATCAAATCTCTCTCATCCGCTAAATACAGACATCAGTGAATTGACAAGTGTTAAACCACTTTTACACTCATACCCTAACAGTGGAAGAAAAATTTTATGAAACTTCTCTCCACCTTTATGGCGAATTTGCCGCCACACGACATGGGTGTTAGTAGTCACAAGGCATTACCCCCTTTCGGTGGGTCTGAAAAAGAGTTAGCGAGATTCAGCATCGTATGTTAAGGGGAGAAGAAGTAAAACCTTGAGTAAGTGGAGCAAATCGCAACGTCGGTTAAATGTGATTCGAGGAATGCACGTATTTAATCGAGAGGACAGTAAAACCTCATTACGACAGAGATTACTATCTTTGAGTAGCTACCAAATGCAGCACAAATGTTGATTCTCCTGACTAATTTTGCCACAAACAGGAACCACAAATGAGCACGCACTTTATGCAGTTGTAGTGATGCCAATGGGCCTACGCCAGTGTACGATGAAGGTAAGAGTTTGCATAGAGTACATTCAGGGGACAAGTGACCTAAAACACCTCCAAACTGCCTCCGTCAAGCAAGTTGTTGAAGTTGCACAAATTCTCCAGCTGCACAATAAACCAAAGTGGTGTAAAATACGCAACTGATGGAGCCAACATAGATGTAAACAGTGCACTACTGCAAAACTCTCCTTAGGTCTCGATCAAGACAAGAGAAAGGTTTTTAGATGACCATTGGGTTTTTTCAATGCCCATAAAACAATTTTGCCTTCGGGAGGCATTTGCCTTCATTTTTATCGAAGTTTTCCGTTTCCCCAAAACCGTTTTGATGGAGTCATTGTGTTTTCAATTTAAAACGCTGAAAAGGTCCACATTTTCCCTTGTTTGCAATTCGAGCAAAAAATTAAATAAAATATTGTTTAATAGAAAGCGACAATAAATAGATTCAGAACCTTTTGATACCATAAACCTGTCGAACTTTTGAGCGAGTGAAGGAAGATCCGACAAAAACGATGGCGATGATTATGCCATTGTAACTTTAAATCACAACTTTGGTGAAATTTTTTCAACCCCACTGGCAATTTCGACCCAACTATGGTGTCTGAAATCTTGCATTAAGTTTTCGCGTTACTCCACTATGATTGAGAGGAGAGATGAGAAAGGTACGAGCGGCTGTTCTTTCCTATCATCAGAGTTTTGCCAAATCGGTAGCAGACTCAGGAAGACTGCAGTAAGAGTAGCGCCATTGGACAGACATTAAGCGGCATGGTAGACTTGGATACAGCTACTGCAGGCAGAAGCCAAAGTTTATTTCTTTCCACTTGCCTCTAGACAAGAATGTAGGCACTAGATTAGTTGAGTCTCGAGTGGATTGGGGATAGGGAAGAGTTGGGCCTACGAGGTCAAGCTATAACGAGACTGTTACCACCCTTAGGATGATGAAATAAAATAACACCTCTGAAAAGGTGAGTTTAATGATAAATAAGGAGCCCATGTTGTTATTACACATATTTGAAGCGAAATTGAGCTAATCAGCCCAAAAGGAATGCCTACCACACCGCCTGGCCAATTTGGGTAAGAGCAATTTTTAATTCCTTAAGCGATTCGGTCTTCGGCCCATGCTAGTAACCTCAAGACATGAAGCATGCTGAATATGTATGGAATCTACAGCAGTATTGGGATGCGTTTCACTTTCAGGGAGGGCTCAGGAGGCTACAATAATTGTAAAGATAAACAAAGTCGATTTCCTGGAGCTCAAATTCCGAATGTTACAACTAAATAATGTAAAGCATTGCGGCAAACCGTGGTTACGACTATTAATAGTAGTTTTTTGCCGGAAGAACTAAAAAAACGCCTATCTACCTAAACTATCTCCGTTCCATGAACTTCAGGAAGGATAGTTAGAAATGAAAGTGACACTGGCAACCGTAAATTATCTGGAAAGGTTCCTCTGATGAACAACTGACTGTAGCTATCTGAAAATATCAAATATGCAAAATCGCGATACTGCTTTCACATTTCTAGTAACTAAATGAAACGTAGACAACTATGGCTGGATAAATTCGATGTGCATTTGGCCTTAAAAGAGCCGAATTCGGTACAAAAACATGCGTCTTTGAAACCATTTTTATCTCACCTTTCAGTACATGACACGGCTAGGGTCAGTTGATGGAACCGATGATAAGCCTGCCATCAATTCCATATTATGCTTTCTGTGTGTAGCAAAACTTTAATTCCAACCAAAAATTGCGAAATGGTGAGTGAGGTTGCGGTCTAATTTCGTCAAAGTTGCGTAAAAAATATCGATGTCATGCAATGCATCCGATGTTTGCTTAATTCTGGCCTTTCGGTGGGAGCGAATACTTTGGGCCTTCACTATTGCATCTCTTTTATGAGGTGTTTTTGCCTCAGGCCTCACGATTGCATAGAAAGGGTGTCATGAAATCCAAAACATCATATCGAGAATTGTGAGTAGGAGTTGGTGTTGCGATTCCAGGGCAATGTAATACGCTTAGCTAGAAAAGCCATTTAAAGTGAATTATATGCATGTGTGTCACCGTGATTTTGGCTTCTGGGGGATCTTAGGTTGCTGCATTTTTCCCAATTCCCGGCATATTTCCAATTCAAAAGACAAATCGCAGCGAAGGTAGGAAGTCGAGATAATAGTGTGACTCAGGTGGAGTGCCAGAGAGACTGCAACAGCGATAAGTCGCTGGCTACCTATTAACCGCTGTAATGTGCGCTCTCCGTGCTGTTGGCTGTACAACCCTCGGACATCCACATGCACACAGAACACGTACAGGAACAAAGGTCACTTGCTCAACAGTGCAGTTCCAAAAATCGTAATGGCTAATGCAGACCCAAGGTAGGCAAAATAAGTTTATAGAATAGTTGGCAAATTAATGCGCATAGAATTTATATATCATCTCTTAGCCATGAAAAGTCATTTGCATTTTCTAGAGAAAACAGAAAAATTGAATCTTCAGCAAAGATAAGCAATAAGACTCCCGGTAAAAACAAACTGAAGTCACTGTTGTTTTGCAGTTAAGCTTAGTCGAAGTTGCATGAGTTGAAAAACACAAATAACCTAGTAACAGGGAACTGACATTTGGAAGCACACAGTTTGGAAATAAGCGAACACATTTGCACCCTTCCCCACTTCCCATTCAGGTGGTGAAGCCGTCGTCTGGTGGCCAACAGGGCGCAGTGGTTATAAGCTTAGAAATTAAAAGGTACATTTTATAAGCCAAACTAAAGCCAGCAAAATGAATTTTGGAAGTGTCGTGCTTGAAGGTTATGCTTGTATCTGACCATTTTCCGTGAAGTTAAATTAAAATTAATTATGAATAAAAGGAGGTTAAAATGTGACAGCTGGTAGGGGTAAACTACAATAATTTACAAAAAATATTTGTACTTAGGGTGGTTCGGGATAAAATCCCATCTTTATCAATTTGACTCCTGGTGACTACAAATTAACCGTCTTGTAGGCATTTTGGCATCGAGATTAACTGTGATTGGTAAAGATAGGCGACCGATGCTTAGTTTGATGGGATGACAGGGATAGGGTTGAAAGTGGGGCATGGTAGAGCCTCTCATTTTTATCTGGCTGCTATTAATTTCGGAAGTAGTAATCAACCTGACCTCCGAAGTAGGCTCCATCAGTGAGAGTGTTGACCACACTGCCATCAGGCAGTACGATATCGACGGTTCCCTCGCGGATGAAGTACATTTTTGTACCAAAAGTACCATGTTTAATAATCACATCGTCGGGTCGAAAGACTTCAAATTTCAGCCTGTTAAGCACATCCACAACAAAGTTTTCGTCTTCGTCTTTGAAGAAAGGCACCGCGGCTACTAAGGAACGACAATTGTAGTTGATAATTTGCTGAAAAGATAGTACAAAAAACCATATTCAACGCCTTGTGCTACTAATCAACAACTACTGCACTAAAAAAGCATTAATTTTGCAGGTTACTTGTGCGAATAACGGCAACAAATCCTATCGCACAATAGCTTTTGTAGCGACCATGGGTAGAGGCATGTCCAAAACTAATTTTTGCGCCACACACCGCATTGCTGCACACTACGTTTCAGGACAAATGAGTCACTGTCGCTTGATGCTTGATAATAAAGTTGCCTAAAATACAGCTAGACTATACTAACCTTTAGGGCGTTATCTAACAAATGCTAAGAGCGTTTACTAGCTTTTGGTCTATACTAGGAAGGGTCATTACAAGCTAGCAGTTAACAGTTCTCACCGGTCATGAATTTTAGCCAAGAGGTTATGCAAAGCGCTGGCGCGTAGACGATTGAATTTTCATTTGGATTATGGGGAAAATGAATGAGTAAAAACTGAGTCAGTGATTTTGCCGACTAGTTTCAGTCAAAGTGTTCAGTGTTTGCTCACTAAGAAGTTAATTGGTTCGGTTGGATGTCATTTCTTGCGAATTGGTGTTAAAACAAAGTGACAGTAGTCACCTTCACGAGGTTGCTTTGATGTAGCCTTGTTTAGTTCCTGTTCCAATGCGAAAGAGTGGGACATATATTCTTATAACAGCGCATTTGCCAAACATTAACTTTCCATAATTAACATCCTTCAAGTGCAAAGAATTAAAAGACCACATTTAAGCACACACGTTTTTAATTTTATCGCATCTTATATGCAAAATCTCAAGAACCTACATCTCGGAGGCACTCAGAAACTTCCTGAAGGATTTCCACTTCATTGAAAAATTTTCCATTGTACCGGTGCTCGTAGTAGTCCACTATTTTATTGCGAAGTTCCCTCGGCAACTTTCTGTAGGACATGTACTCCTCCACCTGTTTCATCTGAATTTTAAAAAAGTGACATTTCATACCACTCATGCAATTGTTTTACAATCAGACGTACATCTACACCACACAACTACAATAAAATTAGCAAACGAGACACATTACACTTGCGACCAATCATTTTAGATTTGATTTTGAGTTTCTCATTAAAATGATGCAAAATCCAAACTACCGTGTTTATTTTGCATGCGAAAATGACAGGAGCAAAAGTGCTAGAGAAAATCCATCCACTTCAGTCTTCCCATGATGCCATTCTTTGGCGAATCATCACTGTTGCCTCAAGTAGAATTACTCTCCTTTCTGCTATTTTGTTAAGGGATGGTAAATGTCAGACAAGTGAAGGAAGTGATGGGGTCGGCTACCCAATATCTGGCACAGCATATGTAACTTATTGTTCTTAACGTCTACCAAAATTCCAAGCCATAAACATAATTCGATGCCCACTTTTTTCAAGTTAGGCACGATCCTTGCGTTAAATTACAGTTTTACTACATCTTACGATATGCTGGAAAATTGGATGAACAGAACCTCAAGTTCGCCGGCCAGATACAAGACTGTTACTGAGTTAATGCACGAATCGATCCAAGTCCGATGAAGTTACTTCTCGTTCTCTCATTTTTAAAACGCACCCTCAACATTAAAGCTAAACTCAGAATTCTCGAGTGTTTTTTATAAAATTGCCTGCTGCAATGGGATGATTAGCAAGCTGGCGGTCTCGGAACACCGCATCCAACACCCAATTTGTAATTACATCGAGGTGTCGGCATGGTTACGATAATGTCATGGCAGTTCTCAATCCGATTGGAGTTTCAAGAGGTTGTCCTTGAACCAGCACGCTATAACGCAAATCACAAACTGCAACATGACGCCACATTTACGTGGTCATGTCAAAGCCATGCGAATAAAATGCGGGTAATATTATGCCAAAGTCGTCACCTTGTAAAGGCGACTGCACATGCTTATTTAGGAATACTGTAATTTGCACATAAATTCTGATGCAGACACGAAAATATCATTTTATTGTTGGGCTGAACTATGTCTCAACGCTTGATCTGGCACAAGAGGTTTATGTGGTGTTTTCAGTTGGTAAAGAAACATCCTTCAAGTTTTTCCGCCAACTTGATTGATGTAGAGTTACCCTGAATGAAGAGTTGTTATGAATAAGATCGTCAATAGTTGCATTTCATCAATGTGTTGCAATCACGAAGCCTAATAGACTTAAATTAACCAATTAACGAAACCGGTAGAGTAAAAGTTCTGCATGTAATGCTAATGGAAGTGCTATCAATAACACTTGATAATATAGTCAAATGGATTTTGGCGGCATAGTTACAGTGAATGCACAAAACGCAACTTTAAATTATAATCAAGTAGCTAAACTGTATTTTTCCTCCTCCTCTTCTTCTAAATGTTGAGGAAGTAGTGAAGCAGGCACGCGAAAGTGGCTCACACGCTATTCAATGCAAGCACAAATACTAAGGGACATAAAGGACGCAATCTAAGTGATATCTGGTGCATTGACATAATAATTCAAAAGTTCTCCGTAAAATGCTTAACCTCTAGAAGTGAGAGAAGGACAAAGCAAACAGTATGTGTTTCCTAAACATTGTAATGGTCGATTTAGCCGGAATTTAAGTGCATTACCTTAGCAGTGGAGAATACGTGCGCGGAGGAACGCTTTTAACCTCCAAGGAAAATTGACGCCACACAATCACATTCAGGTCAATAAAACTGTCATGACTGTGTTATTATTACTGGATAGCCCCATAATTATCTGATCATTACTTTTAATTGACATCCAATCCTGAGCTTATAACCCGCACTGGAGCTCGACGAAAAGACAGAATTTAAATTTTGGTGATTATAAGTGCCATTATCTTAGGCCGCTTATTAAGTTGCACGTGCTGATATTGCAATGCAGAAGGTTGTGTTTAAATTGTCCCTGCAGGAAAGAGGTGAAATTGAATGTGCATTCTGTGTGTGAAGGGGATTGTGGAGCCCATTCTAAGCTAACGTCAAATCTCCCTGTACACTCTATTAAATGCCTACTAAAATCTTCCAGATCAAATTGTCTCTTATGAAGGGCGAGGTGCACGATTTTGTGAACAGAGTAGGAGACGATATAGTTTTGTTGAAGGATATTCTAGGACAATCGCTATCTCCTTCGCTTTCTGCTTCAAAGTATGATGAGTGGATTCGAAAGGATAGTACATTTTCATTTACTGCAATTTCGCAGAATACCAGACGCAAAATATCATAATTTGACGGGTCAAATGCTGGTGTTACTATAAAAGTGCTTTCCTTCTGCCAGCACTAGCTTAACTATGGGCGCGTAAAAAGTATGGAAATGCTTGAGAAATGTAGGTAAAAAGACTCGTCAGAGTAATGTATGCTGACCTGTTTTTTGCTTTCTGTAATTCCAAATCTTACTGTTAAGAATCCTAAAGCTCCTACAAAACCATGCTTGGAAGTAAATCAAGCTAAGACATGATATATGTATAAGCGTGCATGGCCTTAAATCTTGTCCCAGAAATCTTGGTACTGCTAGATAAAATCATTTCTATGTTTGTTAAATAAAATAAGTAACACATAGAATTACTAAAGTAAACGAAATTTTTCGAAAAAAAATTGGTTGTGGATAGATGTGCTTCACAGACTGAAAGTTGTGCAATTCAAGTCAGCAGTGATGGTGAAGGCTGTTGGCGCAGTGAAAATGAATGAGTTGTTCAATCTTGCCATCGCATCTCGTTCTGAAGCGTCGGTTTACGAAAAAAAGCAATGCTTGCAATACTTTCTGGGTTTTATTACCGATATCAGTGGCCGACGCTTTAGCGCTTATATGGCTTTTCTCATGTAAGCTGGCCGTGCCAAAAGTCACTCCTCCCTCCTTCTTACTTATATATACGCACTCACCCCTAACATTATGTCTTCCAGTAATTAATGAGAGATCTTGAAAAACCGCAGCTTACCCTTCGAAATGTTTTTGAGAAGAATGCTATTTTAACAGTCACACTTCTAAACACTTCTAGTGATTTCTTACGATCAATACAATTGAAGTTAAAATCTTTTTGAAGATATTAGGTGTATCAAAGAATGTCCAGTCGATGCAATGCGGTCACCTTTGTAACCATTTTGGTTCTGTGGTACAGACTGGCCGGACCAGGTCATAGTCTCGGTTCTATCCTTTCTGTTTGAACAGCCATGCAGCAGAAAGTGAACCCCACTATGTCAAGACTCCAAAACAGTTTTTGCAGCCCGTGACGACCTTCGCTGATGTAGATGAAGTTCAAACACCTTGGACGAGAAAACCTTTGACTTCTTCACAGCAGAAAGGCTGAGAACGACGTCTGTGTTTGACATCAGCCCTTTCCGTGTTCCACAGGCAAGTTATTAACAGCTGAAGCGAAACATCTTCAAACTATTTGGAAACCTTTTCATTTCGGACTTCCACCCAGTCACATCCGGGCATTGATGTCGACGATGGCATTACGCTAAATCCCCGTCCGTATGGGATCGTGTTCGATCTCGTGATTCTCCTGTTACGCATTTGTTGAAAACTAATGTTCCAACGTCTTATGTAGAGCACAATTTATGGTCAACAGGAGGACTCGACCATGATCCCTGTTTTCAGGTCGAAGGTAACTCCAGATCCAGTCGAAGCTGCTAAGGGGGCGAAGTACATTCTCTCAATTTCGTTGGAGCTGATGACTGATGTGGCTGGCTCGTGGATGCTTCTACGCAACAACGATTACTTTGTGATGGTTGATGAGGGAGGTGCATCAAGCGAAGCACCGAAGACGTTTGCTCGAAAGGAGAGATAAATAGCGTAATACTTTGCTTCCTTGACTACCCGTATGAATGTGGGTCACGTTTGCAGCCATCATGCTTTTGCAACGTGGGTTGGTCCTCGGACCAGGCAACAGCTTTGTTTCTATCTTTTCTGTCTAAATACAAATATTCAGCCATGCCCACTGGAGAGTCTTGGGGCGTTACAGTCAATTTCAGTGATATCACACAACGAAAACACTTGTCCAAATTCGGCTTGTCATTTTGGTTAAAAACCTTTGCCTTTGCATTGGAATTACGTAAACAGAGGTCTCCGGTCCAACAGTGGTTGTGTTCTTCGCCCACAAAGTAAATGCTAAGTCTCTTAGTACACTGAACTGTCGGCGCGCATACAGAACCTTTGTAGAGGAAGTTAGAGTCACTTCTGTGCTACAGGTTTTTTATTAGAAGCTACGCAATAAGGCATTCTTGTCCCACAAATTCCCCAACCAATTCTTGGATACCTACATTGTGTTTCCACATTACTTGGTAGCGGTTTATACCAAACGTGTAGCATTTTTGGAGAACGGATGATAGTGTTACTCCAGTTTTCTGTTCTAAAATTGTCATCGTTACTAAAATATTTTAACGCAAATAATTCATACAGTTTAAGCATAACTTTCCAACTATGTGCTTCTTTTGGTACCTACTAAGAGCTCCTCTGTCAAATTCTGCATTTGGGGGCACAAAAATGAGGCTACAAGTAATAAATTCAACACGTTTGGGAATGTTAATTTGCAAAAAAAGTAAAACAGAGCCTTTTATGGTTCGTAACAGGTTTTTTTATTGAGGATGCTTTAAATGTGCGAAGGTGAAAATCATGAACTAAAAAGGGCATGTAATGCGATCAAATAGATGGAAAGAAGTTCCCATTTTTTTGGCAAAAATCAACTTTTTATTTACTTACTTTATAGCTAGGCATAATAAAGAGACCGGTTAGGGATCAGCACCCCCATTACAGCATAGACGGAGGTTGATTCCTTTGCTGAGAGAAGAAAGTGGTTTACAGGAGCTTTGTGTGGGGTTGCTGCATAGCTTGACCACTTTGATGAACAGAAAGGATGTCTTATAAAAGAAGGCTCATCAAAGCAATATGCGCGTTGCTATTGGTTGAGCAAAGTTGTAAAATTGGTTCTTTCCCTTCTACTCCGTGGTGTTTGGCCCTAACTTTGCGAAAGTGGCCAAAAAGTTTGT